CTGTCGTAGCAAAAATCTAAGGGGGTTAAATCACGAAGGAAATCATAAAAGACTCGGTTTACCTAAATTAACAGTCCCACCCATGTCTGAGAGAAGAATAAAATGAGGGGAACAGAATCAATTCCCCTCACCATGCTTATAATGTGAAGAACAGTAAGGAGTTCAACACCTTCGAGATCCTTATCAATTTCATCCTTTGTCGACAATGTCAAGCTAGTCCGTGAGAAATAAAAAAAAACCGTAGATTGTTTTCCTTTAACACACATACTTCTTAAAATATTGTCTAAGGACCAAATTCACCTTGAAAATCTACCAACGTGTCTGGAAGGATCAAGTATAACCCACAGAGTAACGAGTGGGTCAGCTATACTGACAGCTAAAAGGCAAGTCATTTCCTTAACTGACATAACCAATCTATGTTGTCGCAAGATTTCACATCGAGTTATGCTCAATGATGGGCGGACATAGACGAACTACAGAGAGCAAGCAGGGGAAACCAACAAGCATACACGAACAAAACGGCACCTACATATTAAGGCCCAAAAAATAAAAAATTCGGCAGTAAGATCATCATTTTAAAATCATTACGAGCTCTGTGCCACAGTGTTTGTGAATAATTGTCTAAGGGTAGAAAATGAACACAAGTTTGTTAACAAGGAAACAGATTACGCACAGAAGTCGACCCGGACTCACACGCGCTACGTGTGAGGGTAAAGGGTGAAATGATGCCACATCAAAGATTTGTATTTAATGGAACACAAAGCCGATATCATTCTCTTCTCGATCTCGGGCTTAAAAAGGTATACCATTTCCACGCCACTTCTTCAAAAGGATATTTCTATTTGCGATAACCGCATGTCGTTCAGGCGAAGTTAATTCCCTTACTGAAACAACGAATCGTTGTTGGGTTTAAGTTACAATGAATGGTTTAGTACATGAACAGAGAAAACTGTCAATAGTTTGCAAATGTGCATCATTTCAGATAACTTCAACCTGATAATTGGCACAAAGCGAGAAATCGTAGACGATGGGAAGGAGGCATTCGAGATGAGGGGAGCATCAGCAACATGTACACCAACAGCAGTCTTATGCTGCTGACACTCCGCAAGCGTTACATTATTTAGGAAAAATCAAGATGGACAATGAAGAAACCAGAATAAAAAGGACGAATATTACAAGCAAAATTGTCCCGAGACCCCCTCCACTCTTAAGCAGACCTTTGACCAAATCATTATACGCTTTCAGTAAGTTTTGTGAAGGAGGAAATGTATTGCCACCAAGTTCGCACATATTTTCAAAAGCCGTCTCGCGCGAAGAAAATTAAACGACAAAACAGTAGAACATCGATTCCCCATCAAAATATTGTCCAAATGATGATGCAGAGCAAGATGACATGTGAGAAAAGCAGTCAGCATCATCCTCAATGCACGATGTAATCGGCGTTTTAGTACACAATTCTTTTCCCCATTAAATGATCCTTCAAAGTAGCCTAACAAAATTTAAAGTGATCCAGAAGTTGCTCAAAGTTGAGCTCTGTGGCCTACCTTGGAGTGACAGATAGAGTGCTTGCAAAATGAACCAATGAATTCCAGCTTCCCGAAATGGCAAAGGCGAACTACGTGAACATGAAACCCGGTCATAAAGTGGCACTCACCACAGAGAAGAGTAAACGGTCAAGGACCCTGATGCTGACGGCAAGGTGGCG